CACCCCCTCCCTGGCGCCTCTTCCCGGAGCCGCCCTCCGCCTCGGGTCCCCGACAGTCCCCGAGCTTTCGCAGGTGGCCGCGCCGGACCTGCCCGCGGGCAGCCGGACTGCAGCATGCACCGGGTTGAAATGCACGATGACTTACTGGCTTTGCCCCCCTCCAGCCCTGGGCTCTCATGGTCAACTCTGATCTCGGGGTTAATTATCATCGCATAAGATGCAACATGTGGGCATGAGTGTGTTTACACAACCCTGCCTGCAATGAAATGCACTGCAATGCACTGCACAGCCGGTGTGTGTGTGAATACGCTGCAGAATCCACCTGGGATTTGCCACAAGGGCACTCTCTGCTTCCCCCCCGCCCCTCCGTGCAGAAATACATGACCAGGAAACCAGCATGCCCCACAGCTATCTCCATCTGAAGAGTGTGAAGGAGTCTGCGGAGGGGAGATCTACTCCTATCAAGGGATCTATGGTCTGGAAAGAGCCATCCAGCCACATCCACCCCAACAAACCCCCCTCTCGGGAAGGGGAGGCTGAAGCAGAGGCAAACTCAGCACAGTCCCAAGAGCAAAATACCAGGCCTCTGCAAGGGGATTGGGGCTTTCACCCTCCTCCTTGGCTGCCAGATGCAGACAGTATCTAGCATGGACACACAGCAACAGCTTCGTCTGTCCCACAGAAAGCGCAACCGTGAAGCTGCCCCACACAGGGAGGTGGAGGGGGCAGAGGGCTTACCTGAGGCGGTTCCTCCCCCCAGCTTGGAGCCTGTCTCGCCACTGGAGGACCGGTAGGCATCGTCCTTCGAGGCCGGCCCGTCTGAATCCCTGTCATCCAAGAAGTTGCCATCCTGTGAGCCCCTCAGAGTGTCTGCCTCGTCCCCGTTATCTTCCTCGTCACTGCAGCCCTTGGGCTGCACCATGTAAACCCCTTCGGGGGGCACCTCCGCGCTCTCAGCGCCCTTACATTCCTTGCCCTCTGCTCGCCCCAGCAAGGGCTCCTCGTTGTATTCCCCGTTCACCCACTTCTCGATCACCTCCCTCCTTTTGTCCTCCTCGATCTTCTGCACACGGCTGAGTCCATCTGAAAACTCTGTCCCCAGCTCCTTGGTCCCAGGCTGAGGCAGGTCCTTGTTGCTGCTCTCCCGCTGCGGCCCCTTGTCCGCTCGCGCCTGTTCGGCTCCCCCGTGGTCGAAGACGACCTGGCGGCTCAGCTTGGCACAGATTGCATTTAGCTTCAGGCCGCCTTTGCGCTTGGCAGCCATTGTGGGTTTTCCTGAGGTTGCGTCAGTGCATATAGTTCTTTCAGCTGGAAAAAGAAAGGGGAAAGAAGCAAGGAAGGGCATTAGTGGGATCAGACAACTTGAACCCAAACAGCAAACGGCTGGTCCCAACCCAACGGGCCTTCAGGCATGGCCAGTGTCATCCTCTGAAAGGTGGGACTGCCATCTGTTTCCTAAGCTCTGAGTGAAAGCCCAGCCAGGAGAGCCCACTGAGAGGCATGCTCTGAACCTGCTGGTACCAAAGGATGCCACTGGCCTCAAGAAAGAGGCACGTATTTATGCTGGGACTGAACTGGGCTCAAAAGGCCCCAAACATCTCAAGCAGGTGAACATGGTATGGACCAGCCTTTGCTCCTGGCTCAGGCAGGATATGAAGTTTATTAAAAGCCTGACTTGCTCTCTCCTTCAGACTGCAGCACCACCTGCTTTCAGGTCCCCAGCTCCATCCCAGATGTGTTGGCTGCCAAAACCACACCAGCCAGTAACTGCACTCAAGCACCTGTAGCAGGGAGAACAGCTTCCCAAGCCTAACCCTAGGGACGGTGAGGAATTCACTTAATGGGGTTTACGCATAGTCTCAGAGAAGAGAACCAGTATGGACCAGAAAGAACCAGTACAGAGGACAGGAGCCCTGGCAAGTGTGTGCGCCAGAGCACCAGACTGGTGTGTGGCAGTTGTATGGGAGACAATCGCCTTGGGTTGGTATCAGTTGATCAGGCCCCTTTGCCTGCTCTCTGGCTCGCTCTCACACACACAGGAAATTCTGCTCTCACACTTGCCAGCACAATCAGCTAATTAGTGTGGGTTTGTTATTTTAATGTAGTTTATTCATATGTGACAGCTAGTAAAGGAGGGGTAAGAGACAGTGGGGGGAGAAAGGAAGAAGGTAAGGTCTTAACTTCAAGGTCACAGAGAATCTTGAACTAAATGGTCCCTATCACAGAGTCACTCGCATAATTATTGCACCAACAATTAACAAGATTCAATCACAAATAAAAGCAAAAACTGATTCTAAAGCAGCTGCATTGTCTCGTTTCCCTCTTTATTTATGATACCTCCGAGAGACACCCAGACTAAGAAGGGTTAAAGGTCCCAAGGCAAGAAACATGCACACAGCCTGGCTCTTCCCCCAGCATGAAGTGTGGAGGCAAAGCCTGCTCTGTGTCCCAGGGCTCAGGAAGAGCACCTGGTAAAATGCCTGCCGGACACACATGCCACTGGAGTTACTATGGGGACATTGGTGGAGGTCTCTTGGACTTTATGTCATGCTGAAAGAGGGACCCATCACATGGAGAGCGAACAGAAACTGTCTCCAGACCTCGAATGGTGAGAACGGGTTCCTCCATTGCACAGGAGTCCCTTGTGGCAGCTCAGCCCATACCTCCCTGTCACCAGCACAGAGGTGCTGCTCCACAGAAGCACAGTGAGATTAATCAGACCCCCTACAATGCATCCAGAAGCCATCGTGACAGCCCCTAATCCCGTAACATGACAGCCCAATACAAACAGACTGAAACTTTAGACCTGCTGTCCAAGAGCCAGAGAGTGGCTGCTTAGCATAAACTCCTGACAGCTTCAGACACATTTCCGTGTCAAGGACTGCAAGAAAAATAGCCCCCCGACAAATATATCAGCCCCACACACAAAGGGAGGCAAAATGTACTCCTCCACTTTCCAAATGCATGCCCTTCTGGCATCAACACCTACGTGCAATCATGCTTTCATGAAGGGAAAGCACACGTTGCCCCCAAACACATACTTCCCCATCTAGAAATTAGAGCTGTTCAAGAGCTGTGTGTATGCACTGGCACGCTCCATAAATGTAGTCATACACGTAGTGGTTAAAAAGTCCCATCTCCCCAAAATACATTCCTGTACATTTCCCCATGCATTTCCCTTTCACACATTCCCCAACACACGCACACAGTCCTCACGCATACAGATGGGCACAGGCAGACGCCCATGAAGCTGCAAAAGTCTCTGTGTGCTGGCACCTTCCCTTCCCATCACATTCCCACTCTATTTAGGGCAGAAAGTGAAGGCCAATCCTATGCGCAACTGGTACCACAGAGGGAATCTCAGGAGGCTGCTGTGAGCTCCAACTGGAGCCTGGCCAGGACACCTACAGCTCACGCCTGTATGCTCAGGCGAAGGGCCAGCGGAGCCTCGATGGCTGCAGGTGGTTAGGACGATGCCTCCCGCACGGTGCAGTGCCTGCCCAGGGCTGGGGCACCGGGTCAGCACTGAAATCACCAGCACCGCTCTCCCGAATGCTGCCTGGCGATTCCCTGTCCACGTTCTCACGATACCCAGCCCTTCTTAACTGGTGAGATCAGCACTGCTTGAAGCTGGAGATAACTGGGAGGCAGACACACGGCAGCCCAAATCCCCGCTGCCCTCCCCCTTTCTGCAATGAGGGCAGGTCCCATTATTCTGGTCTGGAGGTGAGCAGCCAAGTGCGTGCACCAGCCGGCAAATGAATATATAAATATTTATTCAAAGGAAGAGAGGAACAGACCTTCCCGAGGCTGCACTTGCTGCGTACGCAGCAACTCCAGGGAGCCTGCAACTTGTCTTCCACTCCTGTTCCTGCCTCTTTCCATCTCACACACCCTGGCTTTGCCCCTCTGCCTCCCAGCTTCTGCCCCCCAGCTCCTGCCTTTCCCCTCTGCATCCTTCCTGTCCCTTCTCCTTGTGTTTGGGATTTTTTCTGAGCACAGCAATTCTGCCCTTTAACATTTTGAGAATCTTTTCCTAAAGTTTAAGTTAAGAATAAAGCAAGTTCTGAAAACTTACCTTTTCCCTGATCTATAAAACTAACCCTTCCAGAGACCTTCCTGAGATGGGATTTGCCCTGTAGTACCAGAACTCTTACGTATCTCCATCCCACCTATGCACATACAGCCGCAGGAAATCAGAACTCCCAGCTTCTTCTGCCAACCTTGCAACCAACTCTGCGCAAGCCTGGACACATAATTTCATCTTTCCATTGCCTTATTTCCTTGCCTATGGAATGGGAGGGACATTACCTATATCAACATTTCTGTTCCCCTCTTTCAGTCTGTCCATTTCACAAGTAGAAGGGAAACCCTTCTTACAAAGAAACGCTGAAGATGGCCATCAGGCCAGAGGGGACCAGAGCATCCATGTTTCGTTCCCTTGGGCAGGAGAGGAATTGAGCTGCTGAATGAGGGACCCTCATATCTGCCCGAGATTGGGACTGCCAGGCAGGGAGGGACCCCCAAAGCCAGGCAGGGGCTCCCTCCCCCCAGGCTGAGCTCCCCACCCCAAATCACCCTGTGTCTTCATCACACTGTTTAAAGATTCCAGGCTAAGTAAACATCCCCCTTCATTTTCTTCGTCTAAATAGAAATGTTTTGATTTCGCATCAATCTGAGGAAGCCGTTTATAACTTGAGCCTGTCATACAGACTTTTCATCTCTGCCCAGGACAAACTCTCCCACATGCTCTATTTACACTGAGCACTTCCTCTGAAAACAATGCCACCAGGAGTTTACTCCGCTTGCCCCCTCCCCACACCCTGTGAGGAGACACTGGGTCCCTCTGCTCTGCACCCAGCCCCGTGGCATCTTGAGAGCAAACTTCTCTTTGAAGAAAAGATACGGCTTGCTGCAACCAGGCCTGGAAAGGAGGAAGACAAAACCCGCCTTGCTGTTTTGCTGCCTTGTCACCCCTTGAACTTGCTGCTGACAAGCCCAGGTTGCTGTCCCCACTACCCCTCTTTCCCCCCGGTCCCCATGTGCTGCCAGTGCCCCGTGTGCAGCCCCAGGCTCTCTCCCTCCAGGCAGTCCCCAAAGCAGCACTTTTTCACCCATGAACTCCACGGTGGGGTACTGCCAAGGTGGGCACAGCTTAGATCTGCCTCCCCTCAAGGGAGAAGAGGGGCTACGGGGGGCACACCGTGTGCAGGAACAAAGGGCTTTGCAGCGTGGACAGAAATAGGGCGTCCCAGCCGAGGGGCAAACTGTGCTGCAAAGAGAAAGTCTGCTGGCTTTGGCTTGGGGTCAATGAAGAAACGCACCCCAGTAGAGGGGAGAAAGGGTCCCACTATGAAAAAGTGACATGTGGGAGCTGGATGAACCAGCTGGCATGGGTGGAGGAGAAGGGTCCCCAGCTGTGTGGCAGGAGCTTACTGGTGTGGGAAGACCCAGGGGTGCAGGGGGGACCCCCGCCGGATGGGGCAAGGGCTGAGAAGTGGCAGGAGAGGAGGGGCAGGAGGGCCTGTGCTGTGGGGAGAGGGGTGCTGGCTGGGGAGGGACGATGCGCTGTCACTTCAGAGGGCCGGGTACATCGAACAGATGGAGCTTTCATATTCCTATTGAAGAGTTTTAAGCCCAGCTGAGCAGCTCCGTTCAAGAGGGAGGTCCCAGTGCCAGCTTTTCAGGAGCTGCAAGCTCTCATTCGATTAATTATTAACAGCATTATTTGGGGCGGGGAGGGGGAGGGAAGGAGGGCAGACGCTGCACAGTCCTCTTCTTCTTCAACCACTGTGGTGCAAGCTTGACTGGAGAAACTCCGGCCTGCCCAGGAGCCCCAAACAGGGAGGGCAGGACAGCTCGTTGGCGTGGGGGGTGAGGATGCTGCACGCCAGAGCCTCTTCACACTTGAGCTGCAGTCCCTAAGACGGAGCCAAACCTTCACAGCAGAAGGCCGCTGGGGCACTGGGAACATGCTTCCCCAGAGCAATGCCCTGGCAGTGCCCAGCCACACACGGGGAGGAGGCAGGGAAGGCAGCCAAACACTCAGCCCCTTCCAGAAAGCATTTCCCCTCCAGCACAAAGACTCGTGCATTATCCTAGGCAGGGCCAGGGCAAAAGCAGCAACAGCCCAGGCATGGCCCACAATGTGTGAGAGTGGATTTAGTGTGTGTATTTTCCCCTCTTCAGTTTATCAATAAAACATTTTATTGCTTTTAGCCCAGGAAATGACCTTGGATTAGTGGATGCTGTCTCTTCTGGCTGACCTTGGGGAGTTCACAAAGGCTCTTTAACAACCTCCTCTGCCC